TGAAATATTAAATTGTAAATTTGAAATATTTAACCGTTTCCGTGATATTAAATTTCAATCCCAAGGGGTGGTTTTTGAGAATTTTTATTGAACAGTAAATTAACTCCATAAGAAGTGTTAACTGACGATACACATCCCGTATTTTTGCGATGTATCGTTTTTGAGATTTTCATATATCTTTTTCGTTCCAGTTTGATGTAAAAAATTGCATATATTTATTTTAGAAAATAAAATATTTCATTGAATTAAAAAATATTTGATTCTATTGCATTATTTAAAAAAAACAGATACGTTGTTCTTTGATTAAGTTTCTTATATAATAGTATTAAGGGCGTTGTTACAAAAATTTTGTTATCGCATTGAATATTGTGATTGAGAAACTGGCACCAAACTTACTGGAATGAAAAAAATAATTAAATGATTTAATTATAGTATTCTTCAAATCAAGAAAACTAATACAATCGGGCTTTGCCTACAAAGTGTGTTTGTTTTAATAATAGTATGTAGATTATTTAACAGTTTAGTTATTTGTATCTTTCACATATAATACATGATTTTAATATTAGATTAATAATATTCTGTGTTTAGATATTTAATGGCCGAAATTGTATATGCATTTCAAGAAACGATGAATATCTTGGGTCATAAAATATTTCTAATATCATTTTCAATCACATTATTCATTGCCAAAAGTTTATTTTGTTACTTTTGATGGGTAATGATAACTTTGATCAACAACGTTTTTAATACCATTATATAGAAAGTTTAATCCAAGATCAACGTATTTTTTTAAATAACGCAATAGTATTAGAAATATTTTTTTATCTATAATAACATATTTTGTTTTCTGAAATACATATATGCAATTTTGTCAAATAGATATTGAGTAACAATAAAATTAATCTGATATTAAAATTGTGTAAATTGTTGTGCCCGGCGCGGCACAGGGTGTGGGGTAGCCGGGAAAGTTGAATAATCGCGGGATCCTAAGTTCCTTTTTGGTATTTGTATTTGCTTTATTTCAAAGTACAATTTGATTATTAAAGATATTTTTATTTGGAAATAATCGTATATCAATCAATTTCCTTCGAGCCCTCTCGTCGTAGCTCTCTTCTGAATCGCTTCGTTCGTAGATTTAGAGCGTTTAATAATCTCGTCGGGTGATTTATCGCACAGTATAGTGGTTAGCCCTTGATCTCGTACTAGTTGTTGTTTGATTTATAATTAACGACTGTCCGCCGCGGATTCGCGGTGGACGGTTTTTATTTCCTCGGTTTCGAGGGTGTTTTGGAGGGGATCGCCTAGCGACATGACCATGTATGGTCATGGGGGTTCTTCAGTGGCGTCCAAAGTCCAAATGCAAGCGAAGGAGGTTCAAAGTCGAATCCCTTCGTTAGCGTCTTTCGCGTTTCCGGCGAGCGTTCTCGCGCGTGGTTTGCTGAGATGGCGGTTTTGCGCGGTTCGCGAATGTTCTATTATATATTCTATTATAATGGTATAATAAGTTATAGTCTCTCGGACTATAACATCCCTCCCCCGTTGGAAAAGAAAAACGGAGGTTGCAAACGAAGTTTTTCTATCTTCTAAATGTGTATATGCCTATCCTTATTTTAAATACAATATATTTCGCGTGTACAATATTCATTATAATCGTTTCTTAAATTAACTTATTTATTCTAAAATCGTGTGCTCTTAGTTCGTTTTAATATTGGTCTAGGCATTCCGTATGTTTTGTCAGTTTCGTCTATTATTGTAACAGTCGGTTTTTTAGATTTTTTCTTTTTATATTGAATAATTATCCATATTATTACTATTATTATAATTATAGTGGTTATTCCACTGGAAGCCATTGGATATATAAATGTTTTTTGTTTAAAGAAGTTATTTTCGTTATTATTTAAATCTTTATTTATCTTTTCTAACTTGTTATTTAGTTCTTTTAGCTCTGTTGGATTATTTATTATGTTTTTAAGTTTTTGTCTGTCATTTGTATAGTTGTTATTTTTAAAGATTGTTATATTATATTCGGGTTGAAATTCTTCGATTTCTGAAGTATATATAATTGAATCGAAAGGAATTAGGCTCGTTATATATTCAATAACATGATAAGAAAACTAGCGTCTACGAGCCACAGAGGATGGTAAATGCCTGAAAAATTCTTTTTAATTGTACGCGAAATTTTAAACGAAAAACACGGCATATGCATATATTTTACTTGGTGCATTTAACCAAGATATAGATTCTCATTTTTGAGAAATTATATACAACCCTCTTTACCCCCCTGAAGAGACGTAGACGAGAAAAATATCGGGGCGAAGTCGCTGAATCGGGAATCGAACCCGAGTCTTTCGCTTGCCGGGCGACTGCTCTTACCACTGAGCTATTCAGCCCCACACCGATACTACCCTCGTCTATTTGTTTATAACTATGGACAATGAAGCGCGATCAAAAGACTCGGGTTCGATTCCCGATTCAGCGACTTCGCCCGATATTTTCTCGTCTACGTCTCTTCAAGGGGGTAAAGAGGTTGTATAAATTTCTCAAAATGAGAATCTAATTTTTAAACCAAGTAAAAATATGCATATGCCGTGTTTTTCGTTTAAAATTTCGCGTACAATTAAAAGAATTTTTCAGGCATTTACCATCCTCTGTGGCTCGTAGACGCTAGTTTCTTACATGTATGAATATATAACGAGCCTAATTCCTTTCGATTAATTTAATCACCCGAGCTTTTGATCGCGCTTCATTGTCCATAGTTATAAACAAATAGACGAGGGTAGTATCGGTGTGGGGCTGAATAGCTCAGTGGTAAGAGCAGTCGCCCGGCAAGCGAAAGACTCGGGTTCGATTCCCGATTCAGCGACTTCGCCCCGATATTTTTCTCGTCTACGTCTCTTCAGGGGGGTAAAGAGGGTTGTATAGAATTTCTCAAAAATGAGAATCTATATCTTGATTAAATGCACCAAGTAAAATATATGCATATGCCGTGTTTTTCGTTTAAAATTTCGCGTACAATTAAAAAGAATTTTTCAGGCATTTACCATCCTCTGTGGCTCGTAGACGCTAGTTTTCTTATCATGTTATTGAATATATAACGAGCCTAATTCCTTTCGATTTAATTTAATTCACGCGCTAGCTGAAATGATCGCGCTTCATTGTCCATAGTTATAAACAAATAGACGAGGGTAGTATCGGTGTGGGGCTGAATAGCTCAGTGGTAAGAGCAGTCGCCCGGCAAGCGAAAGACTCGGGTTCGATTCCCGATTCAGCGACTTCGCCCCGATATTTTTCTCGTCTACGTCTCTTCAGGGGGGTAAAGAGGGTTGTATAGAATTTCTCAAAAATGAGAATCTATATCTTGGTTAAATGCACCAAGTAAAATATATGCATATGCCGTGTTTTTCGTTTAAAATTTCGCGTACAATTAAAAAGAATTTTTCAGGCATTTACCATCCTCTGTGGCTCGTAGACGCTAGTTTTCTTATCATGTTATTGAATATATATAATTGTTTTAGTCTGTAGTATTATGTCTGTTGACGTCAATTTACAATTGTCACGTAGGGTGATTCGACCTGTGTTTCTGATTATTTTCTTATAATCAGGGTGCTTATCGCATTTTATTGTGGCTTGCTGTTCGGATGCTGTCGAGTATAGCCAGGAGTGTGGTTGACGTAAGTCAATCCATATTGTATGGTTTACTGTTACGTGTTTTATGTTACAATATTCTCGATAATCTGTTTCGTATACATATATTTTTATTTCGCACGGCGTATTTATATTTAAGTGATATATCGGATGATTGCTTTCGCATATGTATTGTTTATTTTTATTTATACAATTAGTTAGATCTTGTTTTGTTAAACTTAAATAGGTACGCATTTCTTTATTTACAATCATTAGCTTATTCTCTATTTCTATATAAGCAAATTTGTTATTATTGTCGTTTGTTGGTAACGGAATGACATTAAAAATTTCGTACATAGGTTGCGTGATGATGGGGAATTTTAGTATTGTATATATTTTTGATTTTTCGCAATACGCATTTATTTTTATAAAATTTTCTATCGTTACCCATTCGTTTTGATTAATTTCAAAGGGGAAATATGAGCCTCGTGGTAGTTGAAGTACGGCTTCCTTTAGTTGATTTATTATGTCAGTTATGGGTGTTAGCAATGGATGCATTTTACCCTGACGTATACATATATGTTAGATATTCCAAGATATCTTTCGCATCTCTTATTAAATTATTTATCATTGCTATTATTACCGTAAAATGTTCGTCTATTTCTTCTCGTGTAGTATAATCTCTAATATAGTGATTAATTAGTTTTCCATTATAATCTAATATATTTTCCAATTTGTTTAGATGTATTATGGTGGAGTTTAAAATTTTAATCTGGTTTTTTGCGACGTGTTCTAAGATTTGTTGTTTGTTTTCTAATAATCCTATTTGTTCGTTTATTAATTTTCTGTCATTTTCATCCATTATTCCAAATAGGATTTTTGTGATAGAGCCTACGCCGTTGATTAAGCCTCTACGTTTATCTGATTTAACTTTATATAATGTATTTATTAATGTTATTATTTTATTTAGATTATTTGAATCATTATTAATAATATTTTTTAAATTATCGCACGTTTGTTTTATGCTATTTTCTGGTTTTATTTCTTTGCATATTTCGTTAGTTTGTTTAATATATTGGTTGATTTGCCAGGTTCGATCATTTAATTCCGTTATGTCGAATTTGATAACCAATTTCCAGGTTTGCTCGGTTTGATATAGATGTCCGATTTTTTCGTAGTAGATTCCTGGGTTGTGTTTAAATTCTTCTATTTCAAACGGAAGGCGGGTTTCGTCTTGCTTGGTGGGAACGGGGTTGATCCCTAGTATTAGCGTTCTGTAATTATATATATTAAGTATTATATATATGTACTCTGCTGGTGTCATATTTATTCGTTGCTTGCTAATTTTATCAGTATGGGATTAATTTTAATCTTTCTCAACTTAGCTCTGCTATGTATTATGTCCTTTCGCGAGCTTCAGTCTTTTGCTGATCGTTAGTCAGTTCGCAAGGCAACAAAACAAAAGAAATCATGTCGAGTTATCCTTCCTCGTCAGAGGAGTTCGCGTGTGATGTTAACAATTGTGAGGCCGATTTGCCTCGGGTGCGGGATGTGTCCGGTGGCCCGCCCCTACCGCGCGATCATTTCGAGCGGGCTTGTTCGCGTATATACGCGAACAGCCTTTCCTCGTTGTGCGTAACTGTAAATTTTGTTACTGGTGCGCGTGTGATTCAAGAGGTCGTGCCTTATCCCAGGAGCATATTGCCCTCCATTTGGGATGTTTTGGATATCTCACGGGCGCTGGAGGCTGAGGAGTTCGCGGCGTTGTGGGCGCATCGTCGCGTAGAACGTCTTTTGCGCCTGGGCCAGAGTGGCCGAAATGCGGCGCCCAGGGGGAGGGCCCGCGCCGTTTGGCGTCTTCCTGAGCGCTTGCCGGAGCCGTTGCGCCCCTCAGGCCGTGGACACGGTCGCCCACATGGGTAAGTAAATTTATTTATTATTAGTGTGTATTTATTTTTGTGTTTATTAATGTTCTATAAATAGTTTAAATTTGTTGGTGTGTATACATATTGTTTTCCTTCCTTTTTTTATTGTATAGTTTACGCCGGAGTTCTTTTCTAGAATCGTATACGGTCCTGTCCATAATGATTCTAGTTTTTTTGATCTTCCGCGTCGTAGTGTCTCGTCGTATACTAACACTTTATCCCCTATTTTAAATTGGGCTTCTTTTGTGTTTTTGTCATATTGTTTCTTGGCTTTACATTTTTCTTCTTTTATGTGTTCTTTTGTGAGTTGGTTTGTTGCGCGTAGTCTTTCTTTTAGTTCTTGCGCATAGTCATCATAATTATATGTTGGTTTAGGCGGTTTTGTTAACGCTGTCGGAATTTCGGCTTGATGTCCGTACATCAATTCGAAGGGTGTATATCCTGTAGTAGTGTGCGGCGTCGTATTATACGTGAACATCGCGAACGGTATCCATTCGTCCCAGTCTGTTTGGTCCTCATTTATATAGTGTCTTAAATATTCTGCTAGCGTTCGATGCGATCGTTCTAACGCGCCATTACTTTCTGGGTGATACGCGGTTGTTTGTATTTTGTTTATTTTTAATAATTTGCACGTGTTTTTAAAGATCTCGCTCATAAAATTAGTTCCTTGGTCTGTCAAAATTTTTTCTGGTATTCCGTGTTCAAGAATTATCTTTGTAACAAATTCCTTGCTGATAGTATTCGCTTCTTGATTTGGGATCGGAATAGCTTTACTAAATTTAGTTAAATTGTCTTGGAAGGTTAATAAATATTTATTTCCATTATTAGTAATAGTTAGCGGTCCGACTATATCTAGCGCGCATTTTTCAAATGGTTTATTAGGCGTGTCGGTGATTATTAAAGGAACTTTATTTTTTCTTGATAATTTTTTTTTTTGACACGATTCGCATTTCGCGATATATTGTTCTACGTCTTTAGTTAATCCTCTCCAATTATGTTGTAAGCGGATTCTTTTAATCGTTCGTTCAATTCCTTGATGCCCTCCTATAGGTGCATCATGATACTCTGATAATATCTGTTTTTTCTCTTCTTCTGTGTATGTTGTTATATTATCAGTATCTGTTTCTTCTTTTTCTATCTTTAGAATTTCTTTATCCTTTTCTAGCGATGGTCCCGGTATCGCGTTGCGACTTAAGGCGTCGGCATTTGCGTTTGCTCTTCCAGCCTTGTGTATGATTTCGTAATCATATTCTTCGAGTTTTAATCTCCATCGGATTAATCTCGATCCGGGGTCGTTTACATTGAACAACCATATTAAAGGTTTGTGGTCCGTGATAATCTTAAATTTTGTTCCATATATGTACGGTCTAAAATGTTTAACAGCCCATACAATTGCCAATAATTCTTTTTCCGTAGTGTTATAATTTTGCTCCGCCTTTGTTAATATTCTGCTGGCGTAAGCAATCGGTCGGTCGCTGCCTTCCTCTCCTTGTGATAGCACTGCTCCGATCGCATAGTCGGAAGCATCAGTGGTCACAATAAATTCTTCTGTAAAATCAGGATATTTCAGCACTGGTGCAGTCGTTAGTTTCTCTTTTAATGTTTCAAATGCTGCTTGCTGTTCCATTGTCCAAATAAATTTTTCCGATTTTTTTGTTAATTTTGTTAGCGGTTTTGCGATCTTTGAAAAATTCTCGATGAATTTTCTGTAATATCCAGCTAATCCTATGAAGGATTGGATATCCTTGACTTTTTTCGGCGTCGGAAATTCCTTTATTGCCGTTAACTTCGATGGGTCTGGAGATATTCCGTTTTCGGAAATAATATGGCCCAAATATATTACTTCCTTGCGTAAAAATTCGCATTTATCTGGCTGTAATTTTAAATGAGTTTTTCGCAGTCTTTGCATAACTTCTTTTAATCGCTTGTTGTGCTCTTGTAAACTTGATCCGTATATGACGATGTCATCAAGGTAGACCAGGCATCTAAGTCCTTGTATTCCCATTAACACTGAATTCATCAGCCTTTGAAAAGTCGCTGGTGCATTCTTTAATCCAAACGGCATTCGATTAAATTCGTAATGTCCGTAGGGAGTTGAGAAAGCTGTTTTATTTTTATCTTTTTCAGCCATTGGGATTTGGTGATATCCTGACGCTAGATCTAATGTACTGAAATATTTCGCATTTCCCAGTTGGTCTAGAATATCAGTAATATTAGGCAACGGGAATGAGTCGCTTATAGTTAATTCATTTAATTTCCGGAAGTCTATGACTACTCGGAGTTTCGGTTTTCCTGATGCATCTGCTTTCTTTGGTACTACTAATAATGGTGCGTTCCATTGACTCGTGCTTGTCCTGATAATTTCATTTTGCAGCATTTCTTGTACTTGCCGATTTACCTCCGCCTTATGTTTCTCGGGTAATCGGTATGGTTTTACATTCACCGGCGCGGTGTCGGCACGCGTGCTTATCTCATGCTCGACCGTCGCGATGCATGTCAGTGGTTCTCCTTCCAGATGGAATATTTCATTGTATTCTTCACAGATTTCTAACAGTGTTCGTTTTTCTTCTTTATTTAAATGTTGAGTTCGCAGTAGTTGTCAAATTTGTTGTTTACGAGAAATAGCATTTTTAGCCTTCCCTTTTGTTTCTATTTTATTTGCTTTGTATCTTCCTCCATGTCTTCTAGTGTGACTATTGGAGTGGGCATTTCGACCTCTTTGTCTGTCGTGTTTATCATACTTACAGGACATGAAAAATTGTTTGGTTCCACCAGGCCATTTCCAATATATACTCCTGGGGCTGCTTCGCTTGTTCGGACTATTCCTATATGATTCTGATTTACAGCTGCTTTAATAATTGTCTCGCTGCGAGGTTTCAGAATTATTTTTCTGCATGGATGTAATTTTAATATACTATCCTTTATTTTTATTTGGTTTCGTTTGTAATCGCAGGCTGCTGTTTGTTTTTTAAGGAAATCTATTCCTAAAATTCCTTCATGCTCTATTGCTATGTCATCCTTTACGACATAAAATGCATGCTTGATAGCACGTTTGTTGAGTATAATTGTCGCGTACACCTTCCCTAGTGTGTATAATTTATGTCCACTGATTCCTGTGAGTGCAATTTTCTTTTCGTATACAGGTGTATCGTCCTTTAAATTTTTCAATTTAATTAGGGAAATTGTTGATCCGGAATCGTACAGCATATTTATCGTTTCGCCTTTTACTTCACGGATTGGTAGTGATACCTGTAGTAGCTCGTCTTTGGCTGTGTGCTTGTTTTTTATATGCGTCACTCTAAGGCAGGTCGCGGCTGTTTTCTTCTCGCTTCCTCCTCTTCTTCTTCTTCGCTATCACTTGGGGAATCGGTGCTCTTTTTTCTCTGTCTATGCGGAGTCCTTTGCTCACGCTCGCTCTCTTTATGTTTTATTTGATTAACCGGCTTAGAATTACGGTTATTATTAGTGTTATTTATTTTAGGACGTCCGTTCAGGCTCCAGCATTCCTCGCGGATGTGTCCTGTCTTTTTACAATATTTGCAAAATTTATTCAAAGTACTTATTCGCGTGGATTTTTCCGGTTTTGGTAATGTATATTTATTACTGCTTCGACAATCGCGTCCGTAGTGTCCAGATTTTCCGCATTTATAACATTGTATGTTAGTATCTCGAGTTGGTCGCGTTTTAACGTCGAATTTATTTTTATAGGAGAAGCCGGATGCTCGTGTTACAGACGGGCCGATAAGCTTCTCCTCCGCGCTCGCGCCATTTATCGCTTCTTGGAGCGAAGTATATCTTTGTGATCGCACAGGAATTTTTAATTCATCGCGTAATCCGATCTGAAAATTTATTAGCGCTTGTTTTTTAATGGTTTCTTGTATTGCTTGTTTAAATGAAGGAGGCCGTTCTTCTCCTTCCACCATGGACTCATATAGTTTCATGGCTAACATATCGACACGTTGGCCGAATGCTTGGGCGGTTTCGCTTGACTTTTGTTTTAAAGAATTAAATTCTATCTGTAAGTGTGTTGTACTTTGCTTCGCTTGATAGCAAGTTTCGAGTTGTGTTTTTAATTCTTCAAATGTCTGGATATCTCTCGTTTCGAAATCTTGCATGGCTTTACCTCTTAATTTAGTATATAAGATTGCTTGTATTAACGATTCTTCGTCCGCGGGATTAATATTTTGTACCGCGTACGTACAAGCGTTTAAAAATTCCTGTAATCTATGTCGCGTCGTCCCATCAAACTCGGGAATCATTGTTCGCGCTTCTTTTAATGATACATAGTGCGGGGCTGCGCTACGTCGGTTTCGTATATCGCGTTGAGTGCGTCCGTACGTTACGTCGAGTGGGACAGTGTTTGCATTTACTCGCGTTTCGTTTAAATTTGCTTGTGCGGTTTGTATCTCTCGCATTTGTTCGCGCATGTACTGCATTTCGGTTTGCATTTCGCGGAAACTGTGTACGAGTTCGGCGAGTAATACGTTACTCGTTCCTTCGGCCGGCTGACCTGCGTCCTCATAGGCCGCGGCTGCGTTTAGTTCGGCCTGTTGCGCTCGCATGCGCTCGATTTCTCTATCGACGGCTTCGTTTTCCATATTCACTTGCGCACGTGGCTCGAATAAACTAATATCAACTGATATCGGTGAATAATTTCTTCGTACTGTAACGCGACTTGGTCCGTCTTGTACCGAATTATCGTTATTACTCGGTTCGTGTTCCTCGGACGAATTAGAACTCGAATAATGTTTTTCTAAATTTTTTCGCACGCTTCTACGAATATCGCGAGCAGCTTCTTCTGCTACTCGTATCGGAGTTACAGTTCCGAATCTATTTGTCAATCGGGCTGGCACGCTCAGAAATCGCGGACTCTTAAATTTTACTTGTTTTGACGGTGCTGACATTTAAATAAAGTTCGACTTACAATAGTAGTACGGTGATTCGCATGGTCGTAACTTATCGGGTCGCTTATCGTATCGCTCGACTGTTGATGCTGCTAGTGGGTCGTTGTCCCGCGTTGGTGCGTTGTCCGTCGGCGATGCGTTGTCCGTCTGCGTTGCGTTGCCTTGGCCGTGGATCGACGTTGGTCCTTGAGCGCTGGTGTTTCCTTTCGGCTTTCAGCTGCTTGGCCGTGATTTCCTTATCACTGTCGTCCGTGTGTGTTGCGTGCTGGTTGAGACTATCTGCTTTAATATAGCAGTTGCTCTTTCCAGTTTATTAATTTTGTATTTTCTTTTTGTTGCAGGCGTTAAGGATCCAGGATGGTCCTCGATCTCGGCTATCCCACCGCTGCCACCAATAATGTTGTGCCCGGCGCGGCACAGGGTGTGGGGTAGCCGGGAAAGTTGAATAATCGCGGGATCCTAAGTTCCTTTTTATATTTGTATTTGCTTTATTTCAAAGTACAATTTGATTATTAAAGATATTTTTATTTGGAAATAATCGTATATCAATCAATTTCCTTCGAGCCCTCTCGTCGTAGCTCTCTTCTGAATCGCTTCGTTCGTAGATTTAGAGCGTTTAATAATCTCGTCGGGTGATTTATCGCACAGTATAGTGGTTAGCCCTTGATCTCGTACTAGTTGTTGTTTGATTTATAATTAACGACTGTCCGCCGCGGATTCGCGGTGGACGGTTTTTATTTCCTCGGTTTCGAGGGTGTTTTGGAGGGGATCGCCTAGCGACATGACCATGTATGGTCATGGGGGTTCTTCGTGGCGTCCAAAGTCCAAATGCAAGCGAAGGAGGTTCAAAGTCGAATCCCTTCGTTAGCGTCTTTCGCGTTTCCGGCGAGCGTTCTCGCGCGTGGTTTGCTGAGATGGCGGTTTTGCGCGGTTCGCGAATGTTCTATTATATATTCTATTATAATGGTATAATAAGTTATAGTCTCTCGGACTATAACAAAATGATACAAATAACTGTTAGTTAATCCATACATTGTAATTGATAGAAATATTTCGAAATATTAAATAGAGCTCGATTATGTTAGTTTTCTTAATTTAAAGATTGCTATCGCTAAATCATTAACCAAAAGGTTATTTAAAATAAATTTTGATATAATTTTGACTATTTTTTTTATTTTATTGACATTTATAGTATATTTTATTTATTTATTATTATTATTATTATTGTTGTTGTTGTTGTTGTTGTTATTGTTGTAATTGTTTCTGTTTCTTCTGTCTCTTCCTCTGCGGTTTCTCGGCCCGCTACCCCAATAATATTGGGCCGCGGATAGCCGCATGAGGAACCGCATAAAGCGGTCATTCTGTACGCGGGCTCCAGCGCGTCTCCCTCTGTAAACTGTAATTAAAAAACAAATTATTAATAACTAGATATAACATATGGTATATTTTGTATGGTATACTATTTAGGTATTATCATTTAATTTTATTTTATTTAATCATTTAATTCATTTAATTTTATTTCATTTTATTTCATTCATTATTTTTATTTATTTATTTTTTATTTATTTATTTATTATTTTATTTTATTTCATTCATTTCATTTTATTTAATTTAATTTTAATTTAATTTAATTTTATTTAATTATTTAATTTAATCATTTAATTTTTTTTGTTCAAGTAAATTTATCAGTTTTTTAATGACAACATCGTTAACAATAATTGCAAAAATGAACTTTTGATAAGTAACGATATTTTTTTTCGACTACACACAGAAAAATATCATTCTATTGCTAAGAAAATTAGTTACTCAGTTTATTTTTCTTCTTTTAAGTAACATTTATCTTTAACAAAGAATATTTTGTTGATAATAGTCTTGAAATAGATTCGTCACAAATACTAGAAAAGCTTGTTATTATATACTTAAAAAGAGTAATTATTTTCATTCGAGGAATATTATAAAATTTGATATAAACGCTTAAGCGATATAAACAAGTGATTTTTTCTGCAAGACCTATTAATGAATAAATTTTTAAAATCATTTTTTTCCAAAAAAGCTATATATGAGAGAATTTATTACTTTGTTTCAAATTATTTAGCTACTTCTTATGAGAAAATCGAATATTAGGAATAAATATTAATTTTATTTGTATTTATAGAAATTTTATTTTAATTAATTATATCAAATTCTTGTACGAAGTAAAGAACTTATCATATACGTTAAATAATATTCTCGCTTCAAAGAAACGAATTACTTTTCTGAAAAAATTTACATTCTAGCACTAAATATATATTTTCTTTTTTGAAAATAAGTAATTATTCTACGTTAGTAAAAATAATATTTGATTCAAACAAAGGAAGAGTTTATCTGAAGAAAAAGAGATATCTTTGTTAAAACATATGGTTTTCTTCCATTGACTCTATATAATAAGCAAATAGAATTTTTGTTTTAATTTAATATTCTTGATTGAAATATTAGATTTACTAGGATTTAGAATACGTTTTAAGTAAAATAAATGCTTATGATGAACTTATGATAGATTTGCCGATATACAAACTCTTATGAAATACTTGAAATAAGTAATATTTACTTGTATATAGTATGTATTTTTCTGTGTGTATGCTCTTAATACCGTTATATGAGAAACTTAATTCAAAAGTAACGTTCTGATTGAATATTTCTTTGATCCAATGATATATGTATTTTATTTCCTGAAACATATGTATATTCAATTTTTTGATATCAAACTTAATTGAACGAAAAAAATTATTAAATAATTTAAATATAGCATTTTTTAAATCAAGAAAACTAACACAATCGACCTCTGTTTATGAAGTTAGTTTCAATCACAATATGCCGAATAATTAATAGTTCAATTATTTGTATTATTTATACGATTTTACTTTTACACTATTTGATAAAATTGTATATACATAAGTCAGAAAACAAATTATGTTATTAACAAAAAATAATTAAAATATGTTACCTCTCCGTTCGGAGTTGGCGGCGACGGGGCCGGCGGCGACGACGGGGCCGACGGCGACGGGGTTGGCGACGACGGGACCGGCGGCGACGGGGTCGTCTTCACTCATTAGTATCTGAAATTACATATAAATTAAGAATATTAGTTTTCTTATATTTTATAATAATATAATAATATTATATAATAAGGAACAACGATACATACATCTTTGTCTATTGATGTCATGTTGCGATACGATGATGATGACGATGATTCCATTATTCTAAAATTTTTATATAAATAAAGAATATTAATATTACGCTATTAGTATGTATCGATTGCGGCTTTGCGGATCGTGTCAAATAATTCTGGGGCATTTTTCGGACGCGTAATTAAGGTACGCGGAATACGGTGACGACAACGGTAATATACAAAAGAATCGACAATTCTCGCTCACGAAAAGATAATCGCGCAAATGTGCTCGCACTCGCCTTGGTGGCGCAATAAATATTCTACTTCGGTGGAACGAAATTTCGATGAATTATCGTTAATGATAAATTATCTTTAATGATTAATAAATTTAATGTGTTTAATGAATCGAGTACACGGATTGTTAATATCTTCCGACTTTCTTACTGCGTTCAGTACACGCACAAAATTGCACTCGCATATACGACAAACATAAAATTAAACGCGACAGTAATTGCGAAAGCAACACTCACGCAATAAACAAAATGTACAGGAATCGCGAGATATTTGTGACGGGTCGGATTATACGCATGCAATTTCGATATAACTCATGATTCTCACACACGCGGGTTCGATATATCTCAACTTTCGCTGTATGGCAATTATCCCACACACTCGAGACGTGTTTACAATTATTGAATCGCTTCGCGAGAACAGTGAGAAAGAACAGTTGTTTACTCTTAACTAAATAAATTCAACTGATTATTATTTAATTCTTAAATAATTTAAATATTGAAAATTAAATATGGTAATAAATCTAATATGACATAATTTAAATACTTAATACTTAAATATTTCAATCAAAGAAATAATAATCAGTTGAACACATTTAGTCAAGTGAACAACTTTTTTTTAACTGTACCGGAATCACGAAGAAACGAAAAGATATCGCGACACAATGTTTGTTGCTTTTCGACTAGCTAATATTACCTATACAATCAACATTAAAAAGGAAAAAGAGTCATTCTGCAAACTTTGATTGATTTAGAATTTTCGAAATGGGAAACGATAAACAGCAATTGTAACGAATGTACCGTTCTGAAGAAGAAAATCGTAATCGACTCGACTTTATTCGTCTTAGCAATACAGCTCAATTTATACACTTTTGTAAATGCTTCTAAAAAAATTATCAATTGGATGAACGTCGTATCGAGTAATAACATGATTAAAAAAAAGTACAAGGTATGTAATAAGCGCTATATTTCTCGAAGGCGAAGAAATGAATTCGTGGTTACTATATGTGTTGAGAGCGGACAAAAAATCAGAATGGTATTGCTCTAATGATACGGAAGTATAAAAAAGAATGGCCTAAAGGAGCACAAGGGGTGTATATATTGTTCTTGGAGCAGATTAAGTAAGTTTAAAATTAACTTTTGCTTAATATTTACCGAAGAAAAATGGTCCAAACTTTTGCAGTAATTGTTGCAACACTTGAAGTACGAAGTACGAAACTGAGAAGTACTGACACTTTGTACAGATATCGAGACACAAGTAATCGTTGAATATCAATTTTGCGATCTAGAATCGATAGATTGCCCCTTGCCAGGGCTGCGCGACAGGGGTGCGTAATCGCGTGTCCAATCCCGTTATGACACGGCTTATCGCTGCCGTGTGACTTGTACAATGCTGTGCCGGAGGCGAAAGCACCCCGGGCTTACGTAGCTGCCATATCGTCAAATTGCCCTTTTAACCTCCTCCCAGTAGGGTCGTTGCCGACAGGTGACGATGACGAAATTCCTTCGTCTCGTGATGCTGTCGAGTCGAATTTTTGGACGCTGCAAGATACAACGTGCCGTCCTTTCTCGGGCGCCTTCTTCGCCCGCCGCTTCACGCGGTCCTGACGTTCGCGGCTTTCGCTCTCTCGATGTCGCGCGACACGTGTGTTGTTCTTGGCCGCGTGTGATAGAAGTCCTGTGTGAATTGTTGCTGTGTGAGTTTCAAAGTCACCGACGGCAATAATTTCCAGTGCGTCGAAAAAACCGCTTTAATCAGGTAATTATTTCATATTATATGCACAATAACATTTACTTATTATAAATAAATGAACGCATATAACGCTGTTAAATCATTATTACGTATAGATATATGCAAGATAATTAGCAATGATAGCACTCTTCAAATTAAGAAAATTAACACTATCGATATCTGTCTACACAGTGTGTTTGTTTCAATCATAGTTGGCGGATTACTCAGCATTTCAATTATTTGTATCAATTACACGATTTCAATATTAGATCAATTTTTTTGCTATTAAATATCTAATCGACGAAATATATTGCATATATGTATAATTAAAGAAACATAATATATATCATTGGATGAAAAAATAATTTCAATATCTTTATGTTGTGTGAAACAAACATGTCGTTTTTGAATTAAATTTATTATACTATGTAATGGTATTGAGTGTTGCGGTTCGAATTAATGAAATATTTTTCAATAACACCAATATACTATTAAATCAACAACTTTTTTTTCAATGTACGTTTACAATTGGAAAATTGGATACGTATTATGATTTTTGTAGAAAATTAAAC